TAAACTAAACTAAACTAAAACTAAACTAAACTAAACTAAACTAAACTAAACTAAAACTAAACTAAACTAAACTAAAACTAAACTAACTAACTTTTTTTCAGCTATTAATAAAAAAAACGTGGCAGAAAAAGATGGAAAATCAGATTTATGAATGTTTGCTTGGCCTTTTATGGCTTTATATTAAATGCAGCTGAAGGCAGCAGACGACCTTTTCCAGCAGTCTGGACTTCCCAGGAGTCCTCATCACTTTAAATTAACAGCTGTTTTTTAATGACACCTGAAAGCTGCTGGTGTAGGAGGAAAAAAAGACTCGTCCTCTCAGCGGGGACGTCTCATTGGGCTCCAGAGACGTCTGCAGTCTGATGCATGTTATACTTTTGTTAATGTAATCAAGCCTGGGATTTTAAATCTGCAGCTTCCATGTAAAAAAGTGTTTAGTTTGCAGTAAGAGCCACAAAGGAGCAGTGCTGCTGTTCTGCAGAGAGAATGTAGGTGGCTGGAGTCAACAACCTGACACTGAAACCTCCTGAAAGACAGCTGGGATTTCTAAAAACAAACAACGTGACAGGTAAAGAGAAACACCTGAGTGTCGAGGCTCTGTGCTCATTTTCATGCYCACCTCGGTTTTTTCACCCGTCAGCGATGATGGAAGATTTGATCTTGGTGGTCAGAACCCTGCTGGTCTCCTGAACCCCAGGGACGGCTGCAGGGTCAGGATGTTGGTGTGAAGCTCGTTCCTTCAGCCCTGCAGAAGTGTAAATCTAACCCAGATCCTCTGGTTTCTCCTGAAAGCTTCTGTACGAGGACAGCCACATGGTGGCCCTGACGGCCCCCTACGTTGCCGGCTTCCTGGCCTTCAGGGAAACTCCGTTCCTCATGGAGGCGCTGCAGCGGCTGAAGACCAACCAGCCGACGCTCACACCTCAGGTCTGTGTCCACGCACACTGACATATTCACRGTTTGGTTCAACTAACTGGCTGTTATTCTTGAGCAGGTGAGGACAGACATCTGTGGGAGGAGTCACTTCCTGTACCTGCGTCTGTCTTTTTATTAAAGTTAATTGTTCTTTATTCATCAGCTCATTGTTCACTAATGAGGGAAGAATGGAGCAGGAGATCAACAGGCAGATTGGTGCTGCATCTGCAGTGATGTGGGTGTTGTACCGGTCTGTCGTGATGAAGAGAGC